ATTGGGTACCATTTAAGAACTATCGGAATTGCATTTGACGATAACTCAATGAAATATCGTGTGCCGAAAATGGAGGCGGTTGGTTCTTTTTTTGGATCTGTCGGTGTTGTATTCGGCGGTAATTTAAAGAATTATCAAGCGTTGAAAACCGAGGCGGAAGAGAATTGAGTGGTTTTTATCACGAACTCAGATACTAAGATTGCTCTTTATTTGATTCTTCACTTGATTTCGAAGTCTAAGGTGCTATTGATAATAATGAGAATACTCTAGGCCTATTATAAACTTAAAAGAGCTTATTCAATGGTGATTTTGATTTCAGGCCATTAGTGATGGAGAAAAGAAATAATAAGCCGTTGTTTTTGCTTCGAACACTTGCGCATTGGACGTAATTGAGGCAAAGTATGAACAATATGTTATTCTGGGTGAAGTTGTTTTGGTGGATGAGGACAGTTAGAATCACTGTATTTGATGTCTCGTAAGGAGAAGAAACGGTGCGCTTACATGCTTATATACTTTGCGAAGCTGAGTTTGAATGTGTTTGAGCGAGTATATGAAGTGCATAGTGAATTTGGTGAAATTTTGGCGATGGAATCATATGTGGATTGTGATTTAGTGATTCTGGTGCCTATTTTAAGAGACACGGTGGCTTTTGCATATGCAAAGAAAGTTGGAGTTCTTTTTGGGTGAATATTGATTAGAGACGTTGATGTTTCGATGAAGTTGTCTCCGCTAAGGGTAGTATTAGAAGACAAACACATTGTGGTTGTGTACAATTCGATCGGAAGAGAGGACAACGACTTCTCAAATTGTGAGACTCTTAAAGGAGGCAGGTGTAAATGAGGTGCACATAAGGATCGCAAGCCCGCGGATCACAGATTTCAATTATTATGGAATGGACATACCAAACTTAGATGAACTGATTTTAAACAAGATGGATGTAGAGAGACAAAGGGAGTTCATAGAGTTGGATTTGCTGGAATTTTTTCCAATCGATGGCTTGATGAAAGTGATGGGGGAGGATTCGATGAACTTCTGCTATACATGCTTTTCGGAGGAGCATCCGGTGTTGCGGATGGCAAAGTGAAGAGAACGGGGGATGGGAATGGAGATACTGCCGTTGGTGAAGAGAGGATAGGTGATTACCGAATGAAAGATGAAGAGTTGGAGATAACAATATTGGTGCTATAAGTGAAGAATCTTATAATTGACTTTAATGTTAATTCTCCTATATGTTTCGTGTTTCTTTTGTATGGTGACTGCTGAAATATATGAAAATGTACTGTAAAATGATAATATATACCGTAGAAGAATATATAAAATATTTTCAAAAAGATGAGTTGATATCATATTTTGATATGTAAAATAAGAGAACACCTTTATTTATTTAGGAGCTCTACCATAAAATAAATAAATAATGAGATCATGAATATGATATTGAAACCACCACATTATAGTCATAATGGGCAAAATATAACCTACAATATTTTGATCACTATTTGTAATATTATGGTCATGTTGTAATATTAATATTCGAATTCAATTTAAATAGATTTGGCATGGATAAGTTGGTTCTCTATTGATTAAGTTTAACTTTCATGTATTTATTTGAACTATGTAGCAAAATTTAATAAAATAAAATCCAATCTCACAAAGTCAAACTCCAAATTGCAAGTTTCATAATCACAACTATATGTTTGAGAATCTGATTTAGTTTAATAAATACATTTGTAAAAAATTTATATCAAGGGATGAAGATAGCTACAAAGTTTGACATCATTGGGTAGTGACATAATTTTGAAGAAGCCATTATTAGTTTTATTCGTTAATTTTGCAAACATCGTATCAATATTTCTCTAATGCTTTATTTGTTTGTTTTGTTGTAGCATTTGAAGATGAATATATTTTGGTTTATAGTTTTTGTTCTATGACAGTATTTCCAAAGAATTCGAGAAGTGCATGCGATATTGGAATTTAAACAAGCATTTGTGATTTGGTATATCCAATACGTGTTATTTGATTTTATAATGTTTAAATTGGTAAATGCAATTCCATGGATGGAAATTGAGATGTAATAAAAAAATTGTTAAATTTAGGTATTATATATATTTGAGCCTTACAGTTTCCGTTTTAGTTATTGAAGGTGTTTATGTTAATTTTACTCAAATGAATGACTTAATTATTTTTCTTCTTTCTTATTTAGGATTTAGTGCAAGCAACAATATAAAAATGGTAAAGTACTTAATTCACATAGTAATGTTGTTTTATGCTAAAATTGGTATTTGATGTTGTTGATATGAATTGGTATTGTTAGCCATTTGTGCTTGCACATATATATGTTGCATAACTTCTTCTTCTTGGTAAATATTTCAGACAAGATTTATAAAATACAAAAAAAAATTAATAAAAATTAAGATGCTACAACTTATGGCAATAATATGACTAGTATATATGTGGTGCGTTTATTTTGAAAGATTGAATTATAATACCTAGATTATTTTTATTGATTAAATAATCATGAGATTAATTAATATGATGTTTACTTTGTTATGTTAAATATAATCTAAGATATACTTTAGTATAAATATTACTTGGATAAAATAATCATACTCATCTAAGTAGGATTAATTATCCTTAATTAGCATATTAGTGTAGCGGATTTTAATCCTTTGTAGTAAACAAAAGGAGAAATATACTCAACTATAACATCATCACATGAAATCAAAATATCACGTCTATGTACTAAATCACGAAAAATTCAATGTCCAGAACTTATATTCATATATAATATATCTATATATATATATATATAAAAACGCTTGCAATTTTTTAATTCCTACCGCAATGATTTCCGCCGGAATTCCACGCAGCAATGAAAATTGTCCCGATCATAGAGGATTTGGAGATGACACGATTATGCACAAACACGACTCTGTATAGTACGGTGGTTCAGTGAAATCTTTAGAACATACATTTTTAGTGAGGTGTCATTGATTAATTTGATCTTAATAAGAACAAGAATTCATACGATTGAATAAAAAACACATCCGTGATTAAACAAAGGATTATTGAATCAAACAAAAGGAAAACGTGGCAGTGGGGATGAAATTGAGAAAAGATTTAGGATTGCAATCAAAATGGGATTTAAAAAGGAGACGATAACGAGATAAGGCTTTTTTCTTGTTCGACGACAGTTCAAGAAGGTGGCAGACAAATGTGGAAGAAATCCCTAAAATTAGTCCTAATTCGACATGTACCTGAACTACTGCCAGTGTAGCGACCGAGAAGGAGTTTGAATAAGATGATGAGGAAGACGAGATAAAACTTTTTTTTGAATGGAGGCTGTTTGGTAAAATGATCGACGAAGGTTGAAGGCAAAGCATAAAAGAAGTAAATGACGGCTCCCTCTGGAGTGGAAGGTTGCAAGAACCTTTTTGCAAATTTTTCAAACTCTCACATTTTAGTTTTGCAAACCAAAAAATAAATATAAAACAAATCAATGGTCAAGTGTTGTATTCCTATTGGTTCGATTGGGAAATTTGATTAGATTGTCGACCGAGGATCCCATCCCGGTTAAGTTTCAAATCATCGGGTGACACTCATGATTTTTCTCGTTGAACATTTTAGGGCATTCGCAATTGAGATCCTACTTTTTCTTTTCACATCATCTTCTATTTTTGTTATATCACATGAGATTTATTTTATTTTATACCTACAATAAAAAAATATATATATATTCAATTTTTTAATTTTTTTTTTAAATTTAAAATTAATCAAATAATAAATTAATATTATTTTTTAATATTGAATTTATTAAAATAAATTTCATATTATTTTGTAGGGTATTACTTTGTTAATATTTAATTTATTAAAAATAATACAAAATTTAAAAATTAATAGAAAAATATATTAATATTAGTATCATTTTGTATAATATAAAATTTTATAAATTATATAAATATTACATAATTTAAATATAATAATATATTCAAAATAAATAACAAAATAATATATATATAATATTTCTATATTATGTGTCTCAACAATATTAAGACACATGACAAAAAAAAATTTGGTGTATTTACTGAATTTTTTTTTTAGAAAAAAATACTATATATTTTAAGAATATAAAATTTTATGTTGTTATGATACCGAAAAAGTTCGCTATGGTATCATGTCATACTGAAAATTTGAAATTTTTGATATTTTTATTATAGAGTATGTATATTATTTCGGTAATTCGATATTTTATTTATCCGTAAATCCGGTATATCAAATTATGATATGGTATTGGGATGATAAAATATCAAATTAAAATTTTGATACGATATACAATATGTCGTATAAATTGTAATATGTTATAACAAATTATTCCTACCAACAACTAAATTCAAGAAATTTAATGTATTCTTTATTTTAAAATTTTTATAGTTATATTTTTTATTATGTTAATTGTATTTTAAATTATTAAAATCAATTTTTTAGTATTTAATTGTATATATTGATTTACAATCGATAAAATATTTTTTTTAAAAACAAAATCATTTCATACATATAATATTAATCAATATTAAAATATAGAATAAAAGTATCTTACTATTTATCTCATTATTTTATCAAATAAAAATATTTAAAATAACACTTTATTACAAAATATTATATCACCTAATCAAATTAATTAATTAATTAATTAATACAATATATTATAATATTATAATTCATAAATATGAATATGCATATTGTCAAGATTGGTAACTCAACCTTAATATGTGTCGTGGATCTGTCACCTTACACCATTAGTTTAGGTCTTATAAAATAAGGACATGTTTGGTTGAGTGGAAATTTAAAATTGAAATTTCGAAAAATTGAAGGAAGAAGAAGCTAAAACGACATTCTGCTTGTAATTAGTTGCAGAGTCGCTGCCACCGTACCACACACTCATCTCCACCGCCGCTCCGCCACCCACCCCGGCCCTCCCCCCTCTGTACCCCAACTCCCGAATAGATCCTCGCCGTCCATCCAAGGCCTGGATCCATCTGGAGTTGCGGTCCCTGGAGCTCCCAACAAGCCCCACGTTTTTCAGGTAGATAAAACATAGAAAGCTTCATGACCCAATTCGATGGAGACTAATCAAGACTAGACGATGAATTCTCACAATCGCATTTTGGTGAGACCTCATCTTTAAAATTGAACCAATTCGTAAATTGAATTTGAAAATTGAAAAATCAATTTGGGGATTAGGGTTTCCTATTTGAACAGAGATGAAGAATAACCTCAGCAATGGAACGAAGCTGATTCTTCTTCACCCCTACATTCAGAAGCAAGGGAGCTCCAATCGTCTATGGCTGCTCGCCGTCGTCTCTTTTCTCACTCTAGCATTCCTTCTCACTCTAATCTACACTCGCGAATCAATCTCCATCTCCAGCTCATCCTCCTCCACCGTCGTCTCCGCGGCCGCCGGAGCAACGGCTCCGCCGTTGCCGGCGGCGGTCTCGAGAGCGTTGATCCACTACGCCTCCATCTCGAACCGCACCGACCGGATGTCGCAGGCGGAGATCAAACAGATCGCCGACGCTCTCCGGCAATGCTCGCGGCGGCCGTGCAACTTCCTCGTCTTCGGCCTGACTCACGAGATGCTCCTCTGGAGATCGATTAACTACAATGGAAGGACCGTCTTCATCGACGAGAACCGCTACTACGCCGCCTACGTGGAGGAGAAGTATCCAGAAATCGAAGCGTACGACGTTCAGTACGCGACGCGGCTGAGCGAGCTGCCGGAGCTGATCGCGGCGGTGAAGGAGCAGGTGCGGAACGAGTGCCGGCCGGTGCAGAATCTTCTCTTCTCCGAGTGCAAATTAGGGCTCAACGATCTCCCCAACCAGCTCTACGAGATCGATTGGGACGTAATCCTCGTCGACGGTCCGCGCGGGTACTGGCCGGAGGCGCCGGGGAGGATGGCGGCGATCTTCACCGCCGGCGTGCTCGCCCGGAGCAAAAGGGGCGGAAACCCTAAGACGCACGTTTTCGTGCACGATTTCAATATGGAAGTGGATCGAATAACGAGCGATGAGTTTTTGTGCAGGGAGAATCTGGTGAAGGCGAAGGGTGCGATGGGTCATTTTGTGCTGGAAAGAATGGACGGCGCCACCGTGAGCTTTTGCCGGAGCAGCCACCCGTCGCCGCCGTCGTAATTGATTTTTACGTATGTATGGGTAAGTCTGTTTCTTAGTACAATAAGGGTTAGAGAGGCGAAGTCATGAAGATTATAAATTAATTTTTTTTTTAATTTTTGTTTTTTTTAAATGTATTTTGTGATTGTTGGTTTTAATTTGTATCTCCTTTTGAGTCGTGGATTTGTAGCATTTTCTTGTGTATCTTGAATCGGCATATAAATGAGATCCATCATATCAAATTTCTTTGTATTATTGTGTGGATTTTACTGTAGATTTTTATTCAAATTTATTTTTCTTTCAAAAGAAAATATTATTCTCTACGTCCAACTAGAAAGTATATATATTTCTATTTTGGGACGTCCAATTACAAAGTAAATATTTTATTAAATATCTCACTTTTTTCCAAAGATACCCTTACTTTACATCATATCATTACTTTTACACAAAAAAACCAATGACAAAAATCTCATTTTACTACTTTTAACTACCACTGCAATTAAAATATTATTATTTCTTAAACACTGCGAAAAAAGTAAATGTTTACTTTGTGTGTGGACGGAGGGAGTATATTAAACAATTATTCTTCTTTTTTTATATTATATACAAATTTATTTTACATTCAAAATATTACATCAACTTCAATTTGTAGCGTATCAAATTACTATTCAAATCCAACTTTTTACTTTTTCAAAAATTCAAACCAAAAAGCTAAAATCCACAAACAAATATACCCTACATGTCCCATAAGTTGCATTTATTGATTTCAATATTTTCGATGTTATAACTGCTTCACTTATTCTTTGGTATATAATAAAACTGAGCAGAACAGAAGAACATGAACAAACAATTATTGCCAATTCATTTCTTTCCCATTCGGTCCTTCAACTCCTTGTTTATTAATTTAGGGTCCATGTTGTAGTCCGATAAAATTATGCAGATTTGGTTAGATATCAAAATAAAAAAAATATATATATTAATATTAAAGTGAATTATATAAAAAAAAATGATAAATTCGTTATTGTTTGTTAAAATATAAATAATAAAATTGTGAATAATTATTTACTATAAATAAATTGTGCATAATTTAACAAAAGAAAAAAAAAAAAAAAAAAAAAAAGCGGACCCAAGTAAAATTTATTTATATCAGTCATAGAGAATAATGTCATGTGAATGGTTGAATTTTATTGAATAATATTTATTTGTTAGTAATACTGCGGATTTGTTTGTTTAGTTTTGATTTATTAATTTTTTTTTTTTATGTAAAATATAAAAAATTGTACGATAATATAAAAAAAGTAATACTCCCTCCGTCCCAGATACCGTGTGACATGGTATCGGGGACGGAAGAAGTAATATTTTATATTGAATGTAATTTTTGCAAAATAATAAAATAAAAAAATATATATTAAAAAAAATAAAAACTGGAAGAACAAATCCAATATTTTTTTTTAGATTTTAGAATAGTGCCACTTACTTTTTTAGCTTTGAAAAATACAACCTTAATATTGATACATTTAAAAATTATATATTTGAAAATTATTTTAAAAGTAAAAGTTTTTAATAAATAAAAATTAAATTGTTTTTTAAGTTGTATACTTATTTTTATTTGTTAGTTAAATTTAATTTTGTTTTATAAAAAAAATTATAGGAATTACATTAATAAATTATTGTTTTTGTAAAAGGAGAAACTTCAAAGCAAACAGATTGGGAGGAATACAAGTTTCTTTAGTATTTTTTTTTTTAATTTAAATTATAATTTTTTATACTCTCTCAATTATGGAATTATATGCTAATTTGATCGAACAAAAATTTAATAAAAATAAATAATAGTAAAAAATATTAAAATATAATGATCATATACTTAAAAAACAAGCATTTTTTTTCTTATGACCATTCAAAAAATAAAATAAATATAAATTTGAATAAAGAAAAATTAAAATTTATATGAAACAAAATAATAATAATAAAAAAAAAAATCATAAACTTTATACATGTTTTTACAATTTTTAGTACTATTCTTTAAATATGTGTATCCAATTATTATTTTTACCATTTAAAAGATTTTAATAGGTTTACAAAATTATTTAAATTAATGTCACGCGAACAAAGGAAAACGGTAGGCGTCCATACCAAAGCTGCCCCTCATTAAAATCCATGATTCAGCTTTTCTGTTTGGTTGTTTCCTCAAAAGCACAAACGACTCTCCTCATTCTCTCCCAAACCCCAAGAGAATGCCAAACACCTCTAAATTTCTCGCCCTTCAAATCCGACCCTTCATTTTCTCTATACAATCAAGATCAAAATCCGTCCGTCCATTTAGTCGCAATCGCTGTTACATTTCCTGCCCTGCTTAAAAAGGCCAAGTTGTACGTAGTCTACGTCGTTTGACGAAATTGCACAAAATACTACGTACTTTTTAAATTGTGTTAAGCTCTCTCGTGATTTTATAAATTTTGCGTCTAATTTTTTCGATGGTTTTTTAACGATATTTGACTTAAATGAGCGTAAATTGTAAATAAATTTTAAAATCTCAATTTTTAAATTATTAAAATTACAAATATATTTATTTTTTTATATTTAGTATAAAAAAACAGTAAAAATAAATTCTTAAAATTTGAGAAAAATAACTGTTTTTTTAGGCTAAATATAAGAAATATAAATATATTTGTAGTTTTAGAGGTTTAGAAATTGAGATTCTAAAATTTATTCACAGTTTGGACGAATTTAGGCAAAAAAAACTGTTAAATAAGAACCGTCGATGGATCAGAACCAGAGTTTATGAAGTTATAAATAAATTTGACGCAATTTTAAAAATATAAAAGACTTGGCGCAAACGAAATAAATAAACAAAAGTTTGCGGTATCCATTTTATTTTTTTATTATTGAATTAAAATTCAAAACATAAAATAAATTTGTGAAGGTCCAAAAAAAAAAAAAAATTTACTATTACCTCTCCGTTTATAAAGTTGATATTTGTGTTTTGCATGTTGATTTTTAACATAAATTATTATATTTAAATGTAATATAAATAAAATAAAAAATAAAAATATTTTTATTATTATCTTATAGTACAAATATAATGATATTTGTAAAAAATATAAAAATATTTTTAATACTAATTATAATAACATAAAAGATAAATATATACTTATTAAATTGATAGAGGACAAAGTATTAATTTTGCAAAATTTAAAAATTAAAAATTTAAAATTTATAAAAGGGCAAATTATAGGGGACTTTTATAGAGCAGAGGGTAGATTGGCAGTGTAAAGCACACAGACAGAGTGTGTATTTATTACAAATGCAGTCAAGAGTTTGTTGCTTTTATATTTTCTTCACATGTTTCTCGCAGGGTGTGTTGTCAATCTATTTATTGTCTCTCATCTCATCAAGACATCATTTTTTTTCTTTACAATCTTAGGATTAGTATTTTGGTCAAAGAATTTAATCCAACAAAATGCCCAATTAATTAATTCATTAGAAACAAGTTTGTGCCTATAAAAACCCTTTTCTTGATTTGCCCTACTGTCAATTCTTTCCTCTCTTCTTCTCACTCTTCTACTCCATACTTTAGAGAGAGAAGAAGAGAAGAGAAGAGAACAGAAGGGATATGATTTATGTTCAGGCAAAGATGCAATCTTTTGAGGATTAGGTTTTAAGGTAATGTTAGAAGAGATTTGGAGATTGTCTTCTACAAAAATGATGATGAGTTCGTATTTCAAAAATCCAATTTTCGATGCACTTTACTGCGACGAGCGTAATTTTGATGAAGTTTTCTGCGATGGGATTGTTTCGGAGGTCCCAAAAATTAGTGATTTTGATGAGATTGGGAAGAGGGATTTGCCCTTAGGGCATGACCTTTTCTGGGAGGATGATGAAGTTGTCTCTTTATTACATATGGAGCAGAAAATTGGGGTTTTGAATTACGACGATTTATTGTATTCGAAAATGGTGAGGGATGAGGGCATCGAATGGATTCTGAAAGGGGTTGAACACTACGGGTTCAAACCATTGACTGGTGTGTTGGCAGTGAACTATCTCGATAGGTTTGTTACCAGCCTTTGTTTTCGGACAGAGAAGCCATGGATGGGACAGTTAGCTTCTGTTGCTTGTCTTTCCATTGCTGCCAAGGTCGAGGAGACTCAAGCCCCTCTTTTGTTAGACATTCAGGTATGTACTATCGTTACATTGTCTTAAAAATCTTCGATTGATGATTTTTGATTTTTGATTTATGCACTCAATCTGTTTGTCGAAATGCCTCTTTGGAATTTTTCAATGTCTTAAAAATCTTCGATTGATTTTAGGAACTTTGGTTCTTGATTTATGCACTCAATCTGTTTGTCGAAATGCCTCTTTGGAAAAATTTTAATGTCTGAAAAAACTTCGATTGATTTTGGGAACTTTGGTTCTTGATTTATGTCCATAATCTGTTTGTTGAAATGCCTATTTGGAGAAATTAATGTTTTAAAATCTTGGATTGATTTTAACTAGGTTGTAGAATCGAAGTACTTTTTCGAAGCCAAGACTGTCCAAAGAATGGAGCTTTTGGTGCTCTCAACTCTCCAATGGCGGATGCACCCTGTCACTCCATTCTCGTTCTTGGATCACATTGTGAGGAGATTCGATCTTATTACAAATCTCGATCGAGAGTTTCCGAGGAGGTGTGAGAGTATCTTTCTCGCAGCCGTCACCGGTACGATAAGTTCGATGCAATTTTGATTGATAATGTTTGATTGTTCAATTAAGACATCAAGATTGTGTAAGAACATAGTAATATTCGAACTGTAATGGCAATTAAAGTCTTTTCCGTACAATGTAGATTGTCCGATCGCGCACCACCGCCCTTCGATCATAGCTGCTGCGACGATGATGTATGTTATTCAGGAGATCGATTCTTGCGATGGGAAGGGGTTTCGGGGTCGAATTATGGATGTCCTTAGAGTGGACGAGGTTTGTTGTCTTCGGTTTCTATTACAACATCGATTTTATATTATAAACACGTAGCGACTCTGACAATGAATTCTTGTCATTAATGACAATTTCAGGGCGAGATCGCTGATTGTCATAAACTCATCGTCGATCTTATCGAGGATCAAACTCGTAAGCAAATTCTTCACAAGCGTAAGCACGCGGGTTCGATCCCGGGCAGCCCGAGTGGCGTGATCGATGCGTTCTTCAGTTCGGACAGCTCAAACGAATCGTGGTCGAACGCGCCGTCCGTCTCGTCTTCGCCGGAGCCGATGGCGAAAAGAGGCCGCGGAGATTAGGATCGACTGCCGCCGGTGCCGCGGCTTAGGAATTTATTTGCTGGTATGGATCGGTCGAATTGGTTCATAAATGCTATGGTTTTTGCAATCTCAAACTGTAATTTTTGAACATCTGATGGATGATCGAAATCCATGTTTAAAATCGACAAACTACTGATTTGAAACCTTCTCGCTGAAAATGGGATTGCAGCAATGATATGTGGTATCATGTTTGAGTAATTTCTTGGTGGATTTTTAACTCTTTTTTATGGTATATTTTGGTTGTGATTTTAAATTAGCCCGTACTCTTTCCGTCCCAATATAATAGTCTTGTTTATCATTTTTGTCCGTTTCAAAACAATAGTTTTATTTCTATAAATAATTATATAACTATAAAATTATTCTTATTTTTTCATTTTTATTACACAATTGTTACTATTTTTTACACTAAGACATTCACAATATATAGTTTATATTCACAATATATAGTTTATTTTTATATATTTTTAATAAAAATATAAATTATTATTTTTTAATAAAATATTATTTAAATAAAAATTCAAATTAATATATCATTTTATATTAATGTTAAACAAGGTCACTTAGGTCTTAGTTTACCTAAAGAGTATACTCTCTCCGTTCAGTTAGAAAGTATACATATTTCTATTTCGGGATGTCCAATTAAAAGGTAATCATTTCATTAAATATCTTTTTTTTTTCACAAATAGTTTTACTTACATCATATCATTACTTTTATCCCAAAAAAATAGGACAAAAATATCATTACACTATTTTTATTTACTATTATAATTAAAATACTATTATTTTTTAAGCTTTGCGTTAAAAGTAAATGTATACTTTTTGCTTGGACGAATGGAGTATTATTTACCCTCAACAATACTTTTTGTACAAGAGTATTATTATTTTTTATTAAATTCTCATTCCGTCTAATATCATTTTTTTTTTATTTCTGTCTGTCTTATTTTTTGTCATTTTTTTACATATTTTAATTATATTTTAAAAAAATTAAATTTAAATTTTTTAAACATTTAACTATATTAATTACTTATTTAATTTTAATTTATAATTATTTTTATTAATATATTTTTTAATATTTATAAATATATATCTCCTTAATTTTCATGTTTACGGTGAACAAAGTAGTGTTATCTTTTCATGAACTTTTCTAAAAAAAAAACTGAGTACCATCAACTTAAGTTTAAATAGTGGGAATTATCTTTAAATTAATACAAAAAGTTCATGGTTCTCTCAATCTTTTCATGGTACTAATTTATTTTTACTACATTTCTCTAAAAAAATTCAGAAATTGCAGATATAATACTCTATCCGTCTATTTTCTAATGTCTTATTTGATATTTACACATATTTTGCAATTAGAGTTTTGGTTATAAAATGACAAATTTGCCTTTAATCTTGTGTATAGCAAATGAAAGAATAAATAAAGTAAGGATTAAAGAGTAAATTTTGTATATAAAAATAGAAAGAGGACAATAATTATTGGACATTCCAAATAAAAAAAATAAAACGTTAGTTTGTGGTCAGGGAGGAATAAATTAATATGTTGGAGTACATTTTATTGTTAAGGTTTTCAATGAAGGGCAGGCTGGCAATGGAATTCTTGTTTATTTTAATTTCTTTGTTTTTTTAATTGATTGATTAATTAAATTAAATTATTATTATTTTTTAATTAAATTATTATTGTTGGATGAAACTGTGGAGAGATGTCTTGGTAGCAGGGAGAAACAGTGGGATTTTAGGTTGTGTTTGCATAGACTTTTGTTGCATTATTTTGACTTTGTGACACCATTCCAAATTATAAGTCACATTTTTTAATAATATTTTTTAGTTTCTAATAATAATAATAATAATAATAATAATAATAATAATAATAGTGTTGTTTTGTGTGCATTAAATTTAAATGACTTGACTAGGTCAGTGGGTTGCCTTCTAAGTCTTACAAATTAGTTGAACATAAATAAAGCCTTTTGGAATTTTAAAATTTTAAAAGGTTTTTTAAAATACTCTCCACCTCCAATAATTAAAGTATTTATTTTTTTATTTTAATCCGTCTCATAATAAAGTATTCATTTTGTTTTAGTAATTGTATTATCTACTTAATATTACAAATATCTTTCCAACTTACAATATATTACACAAATGTCATTATATTATCACACATACCGATAATGTTATTTTAGTCATTTCTACTTTATTTTTACTATATCTTAATATAATACTAATATTTTTAAAATTACGTGCAAAAAACAAATAAATATTTACTTATGGGACGGATGGAGTAGTAAATTTAGGTATTATATATATATATATAATATTTTATAAGAAAAAATTATTATTTATAAATGATATATTTTTTTTAATAAAGTATATTTAATTTGTTTCTTAACAAATTATTCATTTTTTTTCATATTGGTTCATTTTATAATAAAATATTTAATTTTTTTTTAGTAATTGTAACTATCTATTAATATTAAATATACTTTTACAATTTATAATACATTACACACACATCGTAATATTATATCATACAATACGAATAACGTTATTTTGTTATTCTCTTATTTGTAATATATATCAATATTATATTAATATTTAAAAATTAACGTGTAAAATATAATTAAATACTTATTTAATGACAAAAATATATTTATATATAAATGTATCATAACTATAATTTGAATCATATTATTTTTTAATCTTTGTGCTATATATACATTACAAGTAGACGGAAAGAATATTAAAACCTCAAAAAATATAATTGTGTTTGTTTTGTGAAAATAGTTTGAAAATAAATTTCTTTTATGTAAAATATAAAAAAAAATAGAAAAATAATGAATATATGTATTATATTAATATTTTTTGAGAAATACGTGTGATTAAAAAAAAAAAAAAAGATATACCGAGGTTTCATGCTATTAAAAAGATGGGGGTTTTATGTGTCTTTTAGGTTTGATAATGTTTTTTTATAATAAAATATTCTATATTTCAGAATAAAATAGAGGGAATTATATTATAAATAAATAAATAAATATTTAAATAATTAGAACTTAAGTTTTATGTTAGTTTTTGTTTTGAATTAAAATACAAATTGAGATTAAAAAAAATTAAACCTCCAATGTGATATTTTAAGTGAATGTGTGTGTTGGAATTTTATTTTTTATTTTTAATGAAAGTTTATAAATTGTGCAAATTCTTTTTTTTTTTGTGTTTGTGTATATATATATATATTATTGAAGTAATTTATATGATAAAAGATTGTAATTTAAATATATTTTGGTGGCTCAGTTTATTCAGTTAGTATTTTTAGATGAAACAATTTTTTGTGTTGTATAGAAAATTGTGTTAAAAATATAAAATATGTTATTTTAAGTTGAATATTTAACTTTTTTTGTAATAACTTTTTGATTTTCTATAATGAGTATTTGAATATTTTTTTTTTGACTTTTGTAATTTAGTGCATGAATGTGATTTCATCCAATTTATTATTAAGTAGAAATATTTTAATTATGTTTAGATAGAATGTTTTGTGAATTTGAAAACTTTTAAAAATAATAAAGATACAAATATTATATAAAAATATATATTATCTATGTCCGGCTCTAAACGTCTCATTTACTTTTTGCGTATGATCTTTGAATATTAATTATTATATGAAAACGTAATACAAATTAAAGAAAAATGACAAAAATACTTCTATTAGTGTTTTATAATACTATTACAATGACATTCATGCAAAATAGTTATACAAATATAAAAATATTTTTAATACTAAGTACAATAACGCAAAAGTTAAATGAAACTCATATAATCGAAAGGTAAAAGTATATTTTTTTTAAAAAAAGTAATATTAGAAAACAATGAGTTAGTTTGTTTATTTTTTTCATTTGAAGTACTTTTTACTTTAAGTATAAAAATTTGTACTGATTATGTAAAAATTTAATATTAAATATTAACTAATAATAAGTAATTAGAAAATATATTTTATATATTGAGATAAAAAAGTAATTAAGCAAACAAACTCCATATTAAAAAATAAAATAAAATTGTAAAGTAATATGAGCCTTGAATTCAGCGGGGGAATGATTTTATGAGCTCCTGGGAGTAAGCACAGTTAGATGGATCTGAGCCACTCATCATTTGCCGGGTCCACACTATTGATGGAGAAGATCATTCTAGATTTGGGAGTCCATGGAGCTCCCACCAAAGTAGCATCTATTTGATCCGGTTGTCAACTGCACGGACGAAGCACGTGAGACTGACCAATTATTCTGGAATCAATGCCGCCTGTCCTCTCCTCTCTCTTTCGTTGACTATTCACTAACTAAAGTCTAAATGCATCAAAACAAATATAAATATATTAATTATTATATCAACTAAAGTCTAAATGCATCAAAACAAATATATATATATAAATATATATATTAATTATTTGATCAACTAAAGTCTAAATGCAATAAAACAAATTTATATATATTAATTATTTGATTAATTTCTCAAAAAGCATCAAAGAATATATAGTTTTGCTGGTTTTTGATGTGTGTATATCTTTTTTATTTTATTAATATTTTATTTAAAAAATAGTAATAGTTTTTGTCTATTTATAAGAGTTATTTTCACTTTTGATTGTCTATTTGCAAAAATCATTATTTTTTAACTAAATATATACTCCTTTCTTCGTCCTTAACAATCTATCTATTTTTTCATTTTGGTATGTTCATAATAATATATCAATTTTTTTTTAGTAAATGTAGTATCTGCCTAACATTACAAATATCCTTTTAATTTACAATATATTACACAAATGTCATTATATTTATACCATACAATACTAATATGATTAATTTAGTATTTTTATCTTTATTTTTACTTTATCCAAATATAATACTAATATTTCTAAAACTCCATGTAAAAAACAAATCAATATATAGATATGAGAGAGAGAGAGTATTTTACTATACATTATAATTATTTTTAGTAGAATAACATTTATTAGACAGATATTATTTTATTATAAATAAACTTATAAGAGTATAATTATGAGTATAAATGTAATTTAAATAGACATAAATAGTACATCTTCAAACTTATACTCAATTTTCTTTTAAGATTGTTATAATAGTATTTTCCATTTTTTTTTAGTAAAAATGTACGTTGTTTTTTTTTTTCATTATTATTATTATTCTTATTAAAAAAGTAAAAATATAAAAATTATTATTTATTTTTATTAAAATTTGTATTTAAATTTGAGCATAAATTACATGACTAAAATATATATATTTTTTTTTATTTAAAAATATGTTTGATTGTGATATGAAATGAATTTGAAATAAAATATTAATTTGAGTTTTTGTTTAAATAGTATTGTGACGTGATATTCTAAGAGAAATAGTATAATTTTTATTGAAAATTTTATTAAATGTATAAAATTAATTTTGATTTGAAATGTTACAAGATTTAAAATAATTATTTAATTAACTATAAAAAAATATTAATATAATATTTTAAATATAAAAATTTGATAATATTTTTAAATATATACTATATAAATAATAAAACCTAATTCAAATCTTACTAATGAAGACATCCTGACTTCGGATTTGTTTCCTTTATTTATTTATTTATTTATTATTATTTTTTTTTTTTTTGTGGTGGAAACCTTGGAGTCTTTTTTTTAAAAAAATTTAAATTCAAATAAAAAATTCTTCACTTTACAAATATTCAAATAAAAATATACTATTTCCTTATCCCGTAAGAAGAGCACCGGTTGTTTTTTACGTATAGATTTTTGAATATTGATATTATAATAATTTATAATAAAGAAAGACGAAAATACCCTTATTAGTATATTTTTGAATATTGATATTATAATAATTTATAATAAAGAAAGACGAAAATACTCTTATTAGTATAGTATGTTACAAAAAGTGATGATATTTGTATAATAAATTTTAATTATAAAAGGTATTTATTATGTTAGGTAGACAGTACATTTACTAAATTAAAAGATAATTTCTTGTTTTATTATGGAACAGATGGAGTAATATTTTTTTTTACAAAATATAATATCAAAATACTAAAAAAAAAAATCAAATCAATATATCATTTCAAACCAAAGTCAAACAAACCACAAGTAGAACGAGTATCTAATATCTTTATTATAACATTAAATTTAAATATAATATTGCTTTCCGTCATTCAATTTTATTCTTACTTTTATCTTTTTATTATCATCTAAATTTGTTATTATTTTTTTTTTTTAGTAAAAGATATTATTATTATTTTTTTTAATGTATTTTTACCCTAAAAAAATGAAAAACTTTATGTTTACCAATTTTTCTCAAACTCCGTAACAGTCAAATGGACATATTTTTTTAATCACAGGAAGTATAGACAATAATATATACATATATTGGATTTTATGTTTTTAGATAGATTTTTTCCCTCTAAATAGTAAACATTTGAATGAAAACCTACAAACATGCAACCATAATTCTTTGTTATTTTTATTCACGATACTATCTTTATATATATATATATATATATGTAAAATCTCTTATGAAATATTACACCAATAAACTAAAAAAAAAAAAAACCTTATATTTCAATAATGCGAAAAGAATATTAAAAATTAAAATTCATTATGAACCAATTTCAAATAAATATAGAAACTAGTCCATTGCTAATTTACTTACCAAAATCTATCCAATTTGAATTCTAACTATACACTCAATAATGTTAAAATGCACTAAAACCATACTAAAAATTCAAATAAATAAGCAGAAAAAAGTCCTCGTGGTTGAAGAGAAAAACTAACTATGGGTGTGTCTCATTTGTGTTTAAATAATAATTTGATTTGATATAATAATATATAAAATAGTTTTTTTTTTTTTTATATAAAAAAATATGAATAATAACAAGCAACAGTAAAAAAAAATAATAATAATAAAATAAAATCTATATATAACTACTTATTGAGAGCAATATTTTCATGTCATGTCTCGTCACTATCAGCTGAGGGAAAACAGTAAGATTAAATCTGGAGTTTTGGTAAAACAGGTAATAGATTAGTTACTTCAGAAAGAAATTCTGCAGCAGTAAGAAATTCCTACACACTAGCTAGACAAGTACTCTTTCACCTTTCTTTTTTTTCCCATCTAATTAAAATAAAATAAAATAAATAAAAAACTTGTCAATTGCAAGATACACATATAATATATATATATATATGTATATAAAAATTATATGTGGATGTTCTTGGTAATTAAATTGGTGTGATCATGCAATGGATAGCACTATTTTCACAAGTGGACAACACAGCAAGATAGAAATGGGCAAAATAAAAAGAAAGAATGTTGAATGCAAAGAACATCGAAACAAAAACATTTTGACCAATTCAAACAAAATCAAACAAACCTCAGCTAATAGTGATGATTCCTTGCTAAATGCTAATGAACATGCGGTGCTGTATGTGCCACCAGTGTCAATGGTTTTGTTAAAAAAAAAAAAAAAAAACTAATAATAATGTGGGGTGAAAAAAAATTAAAAATTTGAGGTAAAAGACAATGTACCATAAATTTCACCATGAATGTTATATTGAAGTAAATCAACATCCGGCCCCTTATGAAAAATCCTGAAAGGAGCAAATGTAAGAGAAAATATTTTGATGCAATCTTTGAGCAGCTTTATCTTTGGTCGGTCTAATAAGGGATTTGACAGATCATCTGATGAATTTCAATGTACCATGAAAATTTCTACTTGTGTGTTCATATCATACACTGACACAACATTAAATTTCTTAGGCTGAGGTAATATTAGTTTTTGGTACTCAATAATGCGGCTGACCACAATGCATCTGAATTCAGGGGTGGGTACATACATGAATCAGTGAGTTACCTACATTTAAATATGCATATTTGCCTGAAATTATGAAATCTCTGCAATACATTTAAGAAAAAAAGAAATTCATCAATGCTGAGTAGGGCAAACTAATTAAGGAGGAGCAGATGTATTGACAATGGTGAATTGAGTTTTAGCCTACCTTTGATGGGCTGATTGTAATCCCTAATTTTCCGTGCGATTTTTCTATGTAAAAAGAACTTACAGCTGCATTCTGATCCTAAAGAAATCTATAGCACATATGAACTAGTTTCAATTTTTTGTAGTTTTATTGTGCTTGTGATTCACCTAAGATCGATGTAGAATTGGATAAACAAGGATGAAGATAACTCTAATATGCAAGAAAGAAATGAGGAAGTACACAGCCTTCATAGTCAATCAATCTTATGCTTCTTTAAAAGATGATAAGGAAATGTGAATTAAAGGACTAATAGGTAATGCAAAGCTTGAATAAACATGGAAAAATGATTACCGGCATTGGCGGTTTTAGGATATCATATCACATAAGGATGTTAAGGCAATGAGTTCTCTGGTACATATGCTATATGCTTCAAGATGATCAGAAGTTTTTTGTCTTATAAATGAATCCTCAATGAAATTAATCAATTTGATGTTTCTTGATCAAATGTTATTAGATCATAGCATCCAAACTATTTAATTGATGATTGGGATTAACTCAAAGTCAAGAATGCATCAAATTCTTGTGTTCATGAAGCATCAATCATGTTAGATCAGGCTAACAGTTTGAGATGATTACAGCAGTAAACATGATTTTACATCTGCATTTTCACAATATGTCAAATACCCTAATCTAGATCAAATTGGAATTCAATTCCAAATCCAATCCTAATCAACAATCACCAGCTACCAAAGATCTATCTAATCAGAAATTATTATTTCACCAGATGAATTATCAATCAAGTTAAAAACAACAGTCAGTCAATCGATGCACAATTTTTTTTTTTTTTTCTCTCTACAATTTCGATTCTATTCAGCAATCAGACAGACACCATACATAACTTAACAATACGACGTAGAAGAACCTAAAGAAGACGAATACCGTTCGAGCGCGTGTAAAACCTCCTTCATCGACGGTCTCTTCTGCGGCACCGCAGAAACGCAACCAAACCCTAACTTCAACAATCCTAGCAGCGCCTCCTCTCTCCCTTCAATCTCCGCCCGAATCGCCCCGTCCGCCATTCTCAATACCTTCCCCTTCTCCTCCTCCGTACACGGCGAGGCTCCGACGGGCAACCCGTGCCCCATCTCTTCCGACGAGACGATTTTCCCCGTCAACAATTCGAGCAAAACGACGCCGTATGAGAACACATCCCATTTTGGGCTGGGCTTTAGGCTCCGAAGCGACTCCGGCGCGTTGTACGGAGAAAGCCCAATTGAACTTGGGCTTGGGCTCGGATTCGGCCCATTAATAAAATCATGGACCGTTTCTGCTGACGTGTTGGACCGCTTGCTACCGAAATTTCGAGCCGACCCAATAACGGTCTTCGAGCTGTGGTCAGCGCCGACGAGCCGTTCGAGCCCAAAATCGCCAATTTTGGGCTCCATATCGTGGCCCAATAAAACGTTGCTGGGCTTCAAGTTCCCATGCACGTGCTTCTTCTCGTGAATGTACGACAGCCCACGTGCCACGCCCTTAGCTATCTTTAACCGTATCTCGAAGGGTAAATGCGAGGACAGAGAAGACCCGGGCCTTCCTGAAAAACCGAGCGCCCGGAACGGCACACGTTAGCAAGACGAAGCGAAAAGCCGCTTTCCATGCAGAGAAAGAAACAAGAAAAAAATGACATATCCACGCGTCACTATCGTGCGCAGTGGGGCAAGGATAAGAAATTTAACGTTGACCTGCATTGGTTAGATTTTAAGGAGCATTTAAAGTAAGGGATAGTTGCAACTACTCCACCGTTTCTCTAACCCAAGTCCCGGGACCTCCCCGGACCTTCAAATCACTTACTATGGCGGACGGTGGCGAGGCTCCCATTGGGGACGAAATCGTAGATTATGAGCTTCTCGTCAGTTCCCCAGTAGAATCCTAGAATCCGTACGAGGTTTGGGTGCACTAATTTCGCGATTACTCGGACCTGGTTCTCGAAATCTCTGAATCTTTCGACGCCGTTTTCTCCAATCCGCCGGACGGCCAAAACGGCGCCGTCGTGGAGCACAGCTTTGTACATTATGCTCGACCCTGAAGCTCCGAGGATGTAAGCAGATGCTTTTAATAATGTCTCTAATTCGAGCTCGATTTCGCCGTGGAGAGTCACCAAAGATCCATTCTTTTGCTGCCCTCGGAGTTTTTTGGTTTCGCCGTCGGAATCCACAGATTCCGACGAGGTCGTTTCGTCGTCTTCCTCGTTTTCCTCGCCGGAGGCGGCGTGTCGGGGCTTTTTCAGACACGTCCACGTTCTTAGCCAGTTGTATTCTTCCGATGAGGACTCCGAGGCTGCCCAATCGAATTGGTATTCCTTTGGGCTTTCTGATTGCCTTTTTATCGTTCTTCCGATCGTCGGCGCCGGCGACGTCGCCGGGGGAGGTTTTTTCCGTTTCCTTTTTAGTCTGTAAATGTAGACGAAAATCGCGGCCAAGATCAAGATTCCGACGCCATCGCCGATCACAATTCCGGCGATACTTCCGGTGGATAATTTAGGTTTCTGTTTTCCGGCGGGGGCCGGATTAGATTCTATAGTCGTCGGAATGGCGGCGATCGCTGGAGGAGACTCCGACGAATCTTGCGGCGGAGTCCCGACGGCTGCCGGAACTCGACACGGCGTACGCAGCGGCCGGCCGCATAAGTCCGGGTTGCCGGAAAACGCATTGCCGGACTGGTTCATCAAAAGATCGGAATCCGGGATTCGACCCGTCAGATTATTGAAAGAAAGATCTACAGTCGCATTAACAGGGATTCCGGCGGCGAATCCCGGCGGGATTTCGCCGGAAATGCGATTAAACGAGACGTTCAGATAAGAAACACTCCGGCCGCCGAAATCCGGCGGCAGAGAGCCGCCGATCAAATTCGACGACAGATCTAAAACCCGGACGGAATCAAATCCGGCGGGGATCGCACCGGAAAAGTAATTATTCCCCAAATAAACTTCCCTCAAATTCCTGAGGGCCGTCAAATTTCTGGGAACACTTCCGGCGAGCGAATTATCAGAAAGATTAAGAATCCGCAGGCTGCGCAAGTTTCCGACGAGCTCCGGGACGTCGCCGGAGATCAAATTATCAGACAAATCGAGAATCTGCAACTGACCGGCGCCGAAGAGCGACAAAGGGATCGAACCATTGATAGAATTGCCAGACAAATTAAGAACCTGAAGGAACTGAATCGTGCCGAGGATCGCCGGAATTGTGCCGGATAGCCCGCAATTAGGCAAAACCAGGCCGGTAACCCGGAGATCGGCGGCGCCGGCGGCCGGAGCTCCGCAGGTGACTCCGTTCCACGAACATGGCGACTGGTCTTGATAGTTCCATGTCTGTAAAGCGCCGAAAGGGTCAGTGGTGACGCTGAGTTTGAAGGAGATGAGGATGAGCCCATCGGTGGTGAGCCCGGAGGAAGATCGGGCCCGAAATAGAAGCAGGAAGGGAAGGAGGAGGATGGATTTGAGGGGATGACTGGTTTGGGAATTCATGGCGGTTTAGGTTTAGGTTTAGGTTTAGATTTAGAAGAAGAATGAATGATCCCACAGCTCATTTTTTTTTTTTTTTCTAAAGATGGAGAGAGAGAGAGAGGTTTATTTATTTTATGATGCAAGAAAGGAGCATGTGATGTGATTGTCAAGGAAAGTCTTGTTAGAGAAATTTTTGAAATTTTAAAAATTTTAAAAAAATATATACTCCCTCCGTAAATAATAAAAAAAGATATAAATATCCTTAAGTCATTGATAAAGTAATAAAAAATAAACTAATATTAGTTAATACAAATAGTAATCTAATTTTAAAATATACATTACTTAATACATAATCAATTCAAAAAAAGCATAATGTTAAAATATATAGTTGTTTAATACATAATTAATATAAATAGACAATAATACACTTAAATGATGTAAATACACAAATTTTTCACAAACATATAGTGGCCACGGACAGTGCAGTAAACAATTACATTCATCTCTCAATTTTTCACCTGCAAAAGAGAATATGAACAGTTTTCAGTTCCCTCCTATCAAAATATTAATATCCCTCCATTTAACAATTTAATTTCCCTCTCAAACTACATATATAAATGCATCATTAATAGCAATGAATTTGAAGCTAGATAAAATATTCATTACCTCAAATGAAGAGAACGAAGAATCTAACGAGCGAGGAACTCAACAGTATAGCGCAATTTTTGTTAGAAAACAACAAGAATCGAAGGCCCGCACATGGAAAGATCAATGAAGCAGCAATCAAATTCGGCATTTCACGCAATGTAGTACGTAGAATATGGAAAAGAGCCATGCAACAGCAAGACAGGTATGCCAATCAATTTAAACAGCCATAAAATAGGTAAAGGGCGTGAAAAGAAACACATTCTCGACAACTCAGCCATGCAAAAAATTCCGTACAGTAAGCGAGGCAGTTATCATAGCGTGGCACATGAAATATGTGTTAGCAAGTCCACTGTCGGAAGGTGGGCCAAAAATGGTCTGATCAGGCACCATAGTAATGCCATAAAACCAGCATTGACAACAACCAACAGAATCAGCAGACTGAGATTTAGTCTGAATCATGTCGAAGTGGGCCAGGATATGAGTGTCATCAAGTTTAAGAGCATGTCTAATGTTCTACACATAGACGAAAAATGGTTTTATATTACTCGTAACACTAAAAAATATTATCTCACCCCTGACGAGTTTGATCCTTATAGGGTCTGCCAAAGCAAAAGGTTTATTACAAAGGTAATGTTCCTATGTGCTGTGAGCACACCCTTATATGGAAAAGAAGTGCAATGTATTTATTATGAAAAAATAGGTATTTTTCCTTTCACAAGACAAGTTCCAGCCCGAAATAAATCAAAAAACCGACCTGCTGGCACCTTAGAAACGAAGCCAATGGATTCAATCACAAAGGAAGTCACCAAGGCACTAATAATCAACAAGGTATTACCACTTTTACATATGAATATAGATGAGTATGAGTTTCACATTAATGCATTTCCAAATATATGCAGTTACTTCCATTGATTAAAGCGAAATGGCCAGCAAGAGCAAGCAAAAGCATTTTAATACAACAAAACAATGCCAAACCACACATTGATGACAACGATCCGGACTTTAGGAAAGCTGCAGGCAGTGATGGATTTGATATCCATCTTACTTTTCAACCATCAAACAATCCTGACACAAATATAAATGATTTGGGGTGGTTTCGAGCACTACAATTACTACAAGTTTCAACCATAGCATCAAACATAGATGAACTTTTATAGGCAGTGCATAGATCTTTTGACCAACTATCTGGCACAACTTTAAACAATGTTTTCCTAAGCTTACAAGGTTGTCTTAAGGAAATAATGGCATGCAATGGGGGCAACAACTACAAGATTCCTCATATTGGTAAATCTGCGATGATAAGAAACAATACACTTCCCACAAACCTAGAGATTGACCGGGAGTTGATCAAGGCATCCATTGATACATTAATAGAAGCAAATGAAGCAGAATGTTTCGAAGAACTAATGACTGCCATCGAGGAACTGATTTGAAGAACAGAGGTATTTCCTCATTTGTAAATATTAATATCTTTTGTAATTAGTAGCCATAGGAAAGTTTTTGTAACTACTTTCCCTTTTGTATATGAGTTTCATTACAACTCACAAAATGCTATATTGAAACAGCACTTTGCAGTTGTAATGTAATCTCTTTAAATTCAGTTACAGTTGTGCTACATTGTTATGTTTTGTACAGGAACCTTTAACACTCTCAGATTATAAAATCATCACCGAGTGCATAGCAGTAAATTTTTTCAGGCTATTTTGTTTGAATTTTGGTCCTGATCAATGAGGTAATTTAGGGAGACGGGACTTTCACTCTCAGATTATAAAATCATCATCGAGTACAAGGGACAATGTTAAAGCATTCTCTCAATGTATAGATCATTGAATGCCTGAATTCAATACATTGTTAAGAAATGTATTGAATCAAGTAAAGGATCGTGCTCACGTTGGACAAGCGATGATTTTATACTAGGTATAAGTCTCCAAAAGCTCATTTTTATGCAACAGTGAACCACCTACTGATTCAAATCACTAGTGGCTTAAAATTTTCATCATCTCAAGCTATTCATACCCAAAACCAACAATGACTTGCCACACAAATTTTGCACACACACATAATCAGGGACAATCAAGTAAGCTACAATTTTTCGCAACAAGTATATCGATTTTTACCTCACCTGTAGAGATTATACCATCCAACATGTAGGATAGTAAATCATTGACCCCAAATGATTTTCAATTTCGCCTACAAATAACAACAAACGAAGATTAATAAGTTCATTAACAAAAATTAACAAGCTTATTCATGGTACGTTAAACAAAATTTTTAGGGCAACATCTTCATAGTTTGAAAGAAAATGAAATCTACCAACCTCCAACACAGTACTCCTGTGGCTCGACGGCGAGAGGGCATTATATACGAAGCATATCGATGACAATTCCACGGATAGAAGAGCAACTCAATGGAGCCACTTCAATCCTACCCTGGGTCGACGAAAAAGGTATCCGAAACAGCGATCGGCTGGCTCGAACAAGGGCAACACTGGAATCAACCTCCGGCTCCGAATCAGGGGCGTATCCATGGAGCACCATGGGATTAGTGTCCACGGTAGTAGATCCAGATAAATCATAAACGGAAAAGGCATCGGCGACGGCCGATTTGGAGGAATCGTACAACTCCGAAAATCCACCCACAGAGCGTAAACGATCCCTGTCAAGGGGGGAACGACCCTCCACCGCTGCAGGGGAGTGTGGGGCGAACGGCATCACCGAAAAAATGAGTCGAAAAGAAAGGGGCGATAGCGACGGCGTAGAGGATGGCGAGGGTTACAAACCCTAATCGAGACGAAGGTGGGTGAGAGAGTGATGGTGGGTGGATAGATATATGATGGGTAGGTAGGAGTTAAATTAATAGGGTGAGTATTAAATGTGTTTTAATTTTGTTATTTGTGTAAAAATGTAGAAGGGCATTTCCGTAATAAAATGTAAAGATGATGGTATTTGTTATTTTAGATGTGTATAAAAGTTACTAAAATAGAAAACGGTAACATTGTAATGAGACGGATAAAAATAAAAAGTGGTAACCTTGCTGCAGGACGGAGAGAGTATAAAAGTTAGTACCTCTTTTGTCTCCTATAAAGATCGTATAAACAGTAACGTTTGTTTTTTTATGTAAATTTTTAAATATAAATATTATATTGAGTTATAATAAAAAAATAAATAAAATTATTTTTATTAGTATTGTGTAATATATAGTAAGTTGAAATGATATTTATTATGTTAGGTATGTAGTATAATTACTAAATTAAGAAATGATATCTTGTTTTGGGACGAACGAAAATGAAAAAATGGAACCCTTGTTTTGGGACGGACGAAAATGAAAAAAATAGAACCTTTCTTATGGGACGGAGGGAGTATTTAATTTGATATTTTGTGATAGAAAAAATGTATTGATGTGATATTTTTTTAAAAACGAATAGTGTCAAATTAGTGAAAGTGTGTTGTATAAATAAAGCCTAAATTTTTGCCAAAATTATTTAGAGGTGTTCTTCCACATATTTCAAAAAAAAACATAGTCCCTTCTTTTTTAACAAATTATCAAATTTTTTATTTTGATTCGTCTCATAACAAAGTATTCTTTATTTTTTTTAAAATAACTCTACTATCTATCTAACATTACAAATATTCTTACAACTTACAATATATTACACAAATACCATTACATTTATATCAGACAATAGTAATAAGACTATTTTAGTCATTTCTACTTTATTCCTGCTATATATTAATATAATAATACTCTATATGTCCAGTTAGAAAGTATATATATTTCTGTTTTGGGACGTCCAATTACAAAGTAAACATTTCATTAAATACTTCACTTTTTTTTTTCACAAAAATACCCTTACTTTACATTACATTATTACTTTTACACCAAAAAGTAATGGCAAAAATATCATTTTACTACTTTGAACTACCCACTATAATTAAAATATTATTATTTCTTAAACACCGCGCCAAAAATAAATATTTACTTTGTGTGTGGACGAAATAGAGTAATATATCTTAAACTTCGTGTAAAAAATAAACAAATACTTAATTAAAGAACAAATATAATAATTTTAAACAAATTAATATATTACACATATTTATAATTTTTTATTTTTATACAATTTTTTATACCTTATATAAAAAATATGTATATATTTTTTTCAAATAATGTCACTAAACAAACACACTCTTAGGATTCACTTGCGTTTTAAAATCTATTTCATTATTTTTTATAATTTAAAAATTGTATATTATATATTTGAAATATTGAACAAAATATTTATTTTAGTAAATTTAATGTGATAATTTTTAAATATATAAATTTTAAAACAATAAATAAATTATAATCAATTTTACCTAAAATTTTCGGAGAGAGGGAAGAGGCATACATCGCCTAGAGAACACCAAATGGTGTGTTTCTTCTTGGGTCTACATTGTGTTTGGAAATATAAATTTGTAATTTAATTTAGATTTAATATAATTTTTTTATATAAAAAATTATGAACATAAAGTTATAAGAAAATTGTGATATTTTAATAATTCAAATAAAAATTAAATATTTAATTTGATCATTCTAAGACAAAAATTGATTATTGTTACCAAGAATAAAATTAGCAAAAAAAAAAAAATGAAAATGTTACACATATTAACGGGCCCCTTCTGTCGGTATTGGTTTTTATGTTTTAATTGAGTCTACCTCTTTGGAAGGTCCGGGACCACAACTCCATAAAGGGATTTCATAAATATAATTATGTATATATATATATGTGTGTAACGGCGGAATCCGAATTCGAACAATAAGGGTTAATTTTTAAAAGATTTAAAATAAGATAGTTTATTTATATATAGATACTAATTATGGTACGACATATCAAAAATACTGGATTACATTGTCATTTAAGGTAATCTCAAATATGTTGTTCACTTCATCCCCTTAAGGTTTGATGGTGGTTCGCCTAATATGACTTGCTTGTCGGGCTTACAATTATTTTTTATAGGAGTATACATTTGTATACATCAACCACGAAATGCCCAAATATAAAAATAAAGACAATCTAATTTTTTAAAGTTAGACACTCCATGTTTGGTTTTTAGTGAAGATGAAGACCACTGACGACGACAGCGACACCCAACGGCAGACGACGCTTTCCTTCTCCAACGAACAGACCCAGACAACAGCGGTCGGACAACAGCAAAGCAGATTGGGGAAACTTTTCGATTGGCTCAGTCTACAACTCTTTTCTTGCGGTGAATGACTTACTACAGCGACTACCCAACTATATTCTAATAAATCCTAAACCGACAGATTGAACAACTGAAATCTAACTCTACATTTCCGATCAAACCTCCTGTTGGCCCCGAAAAATGATTCACTCACGCACAACAACAACAAACTTAAAAATCAACACAGAAAAATCCATCAGCACAGACTGGTTGTTCGTTAGATGATCGAACTACGAATAAACATACCGGTGACGAAAAACATTATAAACACAACGAAATGATAACCCAGTTCGGTCATCAATGACCTACATCTGGGGGGTTCCAACCCAAGCGAAACTCACTACTGAAACCATTGAAGCACATGATATGTGGATACAAACTACACACTCAAGAAATCCATCTCTCCATTTCTTGATGATTTCCCCGACTCAACCTATCCCACAAACCTCTCACTCTCAATGTTTTGTATTTCTCCCTCAATGCTCTCTATATCTCCCCATAACTATTTTTCTACGCTCTATGTTTTATATAGAAGCTCTATATCTAAATATAAGAATATTCACCATAACAAACTCAACAAGAATGGAATCTATTCTTCCACTATCTCTCCCAACATCCACAAAGTTTGTTATAACCTACATTTGTTATTCCCACACATGGATTGGGGGGACCAATGAGTTTTCTAGATCAATTCGTTTGAATTGATCAATTTGAGTCATTTCCTTGTTTGAATAGATTCAAGACAAATTGGGCCACGTCTGTTCATCACTGTTCGTCCGTTGATTGGACCACTTGCAAACAATATCAATCAAAATCCAAATACAAATACAATCAACTTTCAACACCTCCCAACACTCAGCGCACTAAGAAGGAAAACTCACGACGAGAGAAAATGATTGAAACCAACACCAAGAAAATATATCCCTAAAACTTACCAAGAATCGCATTCGAAGAAGGAAAATAGAGAACTCGCACATCACGAATGAATCGATTTAAAGAATAAATGAGTTTTGGATTTACAAGTTAGATCTGGGTTAAAGACTTTGGTTTGCAGGTTGGATTCGGGTCTCGGGTCAAACCAAACTTCAACAATTATATATACATATAAATAGAGTATGTATATTATTTTTTTTTTCTGAGGAGCGTGAAGGAGCATAAAGAATAAGAAGTTGAAAATCTTATCCCGGTGAATGATATGCATTCTTGAAAAATATTTTGTATAGAAATGTTTTTACCCAACAAATAATTTATATATATATATATATTTATTTACTTATGATTGTATTCTTATTCTAAAGAAAATGTTACATAGATATTTATTTTGTTTGTAATAATTTTGAAATTGAATTTTTTTAACTTTTTTTTTTACTTAAAAAAATATGTTTTAATGATATTTTATTAAAAAAAAATAACATATTGAATAATAGATTTTTTATTTAATTTTTTTTTTAAAACACCTTTAACCTAGAATTAAATCAATTACTCTCTCCGTCCCATTGAAAGGTTATCATTTTTTATTTTCGTCCGTTCCAAACAAGGTTATCATTTCCTAATTTAGTAATTGTACTACCTACCTAACATAATAAATACACTTCCAACTTACACTATATTACACAAATGTCATTACTTTTATATTACACAATACTAATAGGAATATTTATGTTCTTTTTACTACAACCCATTATAATACTAATGTTCAAAAAATTACGTTCAAAAAGTAAACGAAAACCTTGCAATGAGACGGAGGGAGTGTATAAATTAAGGTTAAACCAAAATAGCATTATAATGAAATTTGGAAATCACATGTAATAATTTGGATTAAATTTTAATTTAAATAATATTTTAACATAAATATTTATAATAGAAATGTGTATATATATTTATTAAAATTCGGGTAAATTGAATATTCTAAAAATTATTTGAATTCAAAACCAAATAAGCTTCATTGTTTGTTTTATATTTTTGTGTGAGTTTTTATTTAAATTTTAATTAAAGTAATATTTTTGTTGAGTAAGGAAAAATCAATGTGTAGGGTTTTTCAGAAATGACTTATAAATTGGTCTGCGGACTGAGGTATAATTCAATGGGTATGGGTTTGTTGATGGCAGTAGGACCTTAAAACGGGTCAGGATATAAGCCCAAACGTTATTAAGAAATGGGTTTCTTCGAGAGAAACCTATGATTAGGAGATCGGTGAATACAGAGGTTAGACAAGAAGAGGTCGGACAAGGGAGATGACAGGTGTTTCGGTCGGTTGGTATAGAGGTCGGACAAAAGGAAGTTGAGCGAAGAAAGATGAGACGGCCGATACGGAGATTGGACAAAGTGGAAGGCGGGCAACGGAAGACGTAGCAGCAGGTGTGCAGGTCGGACAAAAAGCGGTTCAAAGACGGTTGAGAGAAGTTATAATCGGCGAGCGGATATGAAGGTACGACCTAGTTGTGGCGGTTGACATAGGTTTTAAATAGGTCTTTTCACGACCCAAAGAAACCATCTTCAATTGACATCAAAATCAGTGAATTTTTTTTGGGATCACTATTTTATT